CCTGGGTTAGATCTGACCTGGAAAACCTTGACCCAGGGAGTGTGACGTGCTCAGAGCCCACAGGGGAGGGGGAGGAAGGAGCTCCAAGAGTGTCCTGGGCTGGGTTTTGTCTGTCCCAGCTGAGCCAGAGCCCCTGAGGAAGCTCTGCCTGGGCCTGGGGGGTGTCCCTGGTTTCTGTCCCGGGGTTGGGCTCAGCCCAGGGTCAGTTCTGACCTGGTGGGATGTGAAAAGCTGGAGCCAGGGGAGTGTGAGGTGCTCAGAGCCCACAGCTGTGCCCAGGAAATGGGCAGGAAGGAACCCAAAGTGTGTCCTGGGTTGGGCAGAGCCCTCTGAGGAGGAAGAACTTGCTGTGCCTGACCCTGGGGGTGTCCTTGGCTTCATCTCCAGGGGTTGGGCTCAGCCCAGGGTCAGTTCTGACGTGGTGGGGCTGGAAAACGTCAAGCCAGGGGAGTGAGGAAGGAGCTCATAGTGTGTCCTGGGCTGGGTTTTGTCTGAATGTTGGGCAGCAGAGTCCTCTGAGGGAGCAGGACGTGCTGTGCCTGGGCCTGGGGGTGTCCTTGGTTTGAGCTCCAGGGACTGGACTCTGTCCTGGGTTAGATCTGACCTGGAAAACTTTGACCCAGGGAGTGTGATGAGCTCAGAGCCCGCAAGGGAGGGGCAGGAAGGAGCTCAGAGTGTGTCCTGGGCTGGGTTTTGCCTGTCCCAGAGCCCCTGAGGGAGCAGGACTCGCCCTGGAGCCCGGGTGGGTGGTGAGTGGGGGGTCTCCCCTCATTCCCCCCTCCCTCAAAGTGATCTCTCCCCCCAGGGATGCTGCGGAAGCTGGAGCTGCGGCAGGAGCAGGACCTGCAGGCCGTGGTGGAGGTGGCCAACCACGTCTTCAGCGACGGGGTCACCAACTGGGGCCGGGTGGTGACACTCGTGGCCTTCGGCGCCTTCGTGGCGCGGCAGCTGCGGGGCCCCCAGCGGGACCGGGGCGTCAGCAGCCTGGCCCAGATCCTCACCGACGCCCTCGTGTCCTCCCGCAGGGAATGGCTGCTCAGCCAGGGAGGATGGGTGAGTCACTGGGGATGGCTGCTCAGCCGGGGAGGAGGGGTGAGTCACTGGGGATGGCTGCTCAGCCAGGGAGGAGGGGTGAGTCACAGAATGTTCCAGCCTTTCCCGGTGCTCCGGGGTGTTCCCACGGCCGGCGCCGGGCTGGGGATGAGTCACTGCCCCGGGGACACCCAGGAACTGGGGGCTTCCAGGAGTTCCTACAAGGAACTGGGGTTGGGGGGCTCCAGGAGCTCCTCACAGGAGGTTGGGGGGCTCCAGGAGCTCCTACAAGGAACTGGGATTGAGGGGTTCCAGGAGTTCCTCCAAGGAACTGGGGTTGGGGGGGTTGGGGAGGGGGGAGCGGGATGGGATGGGATGGAGCTGAGGGAGCACCCAAGCACTCGCCAGGAATGGGGTTGTGGGGCTCCAGAAGCTTCTCACAGGGGGTTTGTGGGGTTCCAGGAGCTCCTCCCAGGGGGTTTGTGGGGCTCCAGGAGCTCCTCCCGGGGTTAACCCTGAGGCAGTTTTGGTTAAAATGTGTCCCTGCCCAGTGTGGGGGTGACATTCCCAAGGCCAGGATAGTCCTGGGGGGGTTGGACATTGCTGGGAGCTGGGACAGAGGGATGGGGGAGTGGGATGGGATGGGATGGGATGGGATGGGATGGGATGGGA